CTTTTGGCGTCCTGTGAGCCAAAAAGCAATTGTCTTTTTCACCCTTTGTATTTGTTCAGACCCGATAGACAAAAATCTTAATTATCTGAATTGAAAATGTCTTCGCTTCATCATCGTGGAGTCTGATCCTTAACAGGTCAGAACCTGTATACAATTCCAGCGGTCACCCACTCATCCCAAAAAGACACCTTTCCTCCGATTAAAATTTCGTTCTCATTGTTCTAAAATTCCCTTTCTCCAAATTGATAATGAGTCTCTCTACGCAAAAGTCGGTCATGTGCTCCGACCGACATTTTTTATCAATCGCCTATACGCTTATCCTTTCTCCCTCTAAATGACTTTCCCTTCTAAATAACATTTTCCATTGTCTCTCGAAAATCGGTCAAGATGTTGGCCTAAATACCTTTCTGATACCTGTTTTCGCTAATAATTTTTATTTCTCGACCTCTCTCTTTTCTTCCCTGTTCCTTCCTTTTTCTCTTCCTCTCTTTTCTTTTTCTTTTAGGATCGTCTAAGTACAACTTAGTGAATTATTTTCAACTCAATTATTCTTCGTCTAAGAAAAAACTAACAACTGGTTAATAAACCGAGTAAAAAAAAATTAAATCATATTTCTATGAATATTTCTAATAATGCAAGGTGCCACAATTTTACCCAGAAATTTTTTGGTAGCAATGTGACTTCACTGCCTGTATCAACTTGCATGTTAAATATTTGTCCATTTATCATTATTTTTTCTATAATTCTTTTTTGCGTATTCATTGTAAATATTTCCGCTTTTTCTTCGGATGGGAGTTTCTACCTTTTGTACTCTTTCTATTTTCTTTTCCTATTTACATACGTTCTGAAAATGATCTCTCTTTGTGCAATTTGACCATATTTTTCCTAGAGTTGAACATTTTTACTTGTCTCTCTTGTGATTTTTCCATAATATCCACATTTAATTATGAATTTGGTCGTGCTCGTCCTGTACGTCTCGAATTCTTCTTTTGGTTGATTAAATTCTCTAATCAACTCTAATTGTTGTAAAAACTCAACGCTAGCTTCCAAATTCATGCTACTACTCTGTAGACATTCCAGTATTTTTCGTTTGTGGTTTTGGTCTTGCAAGCCTTCAATTATTCTGAGAAGGATTAATTCGTCTTCTATAGTCATTTCCCGAGCTTCCAACTTCTCAAATTCACAATACTAGACTCGTTCTTTCAATCTATGTAAGTATTGTATAACAGACTCACTGGGTGCTTGTCTTGTTTCTAAAAACTTGGTTCTTTCAGCAGCGACCAATCTTTTCTTTGGTCTTATGTTCTTTTTTTATAATTTTACATATTTCTTCAAATGTCATTTCTTCTAATTTGCTCGAGTAACACATTGTCGAAATTTTCTTCACAGCTTCACACCCAGCAATCGCAAGAAATAAATCCGTTATCTTGTTATCTCCTCCGTCAGTCTTTGTGTCTCTCAACTCTTGCAAATGCAGCAAAAGTTCTTATCCATGTTTCTATTTGTTCTGGGTCGTCCAGCGAATTTAACGATCCTATCGGTGACGCCATTGTTATGTTTGGTATATATCTCTGTGTTGTAGCAGTCGTAGCACAGTTCTCCGCATTACGTTTATCAAACGGGTCTGATAAGCAATGCCCTTATGTTCATCAATTGTTTTCTACTTATAGTTATCTATCTCATTTGCATACGATACTACAATTAGAAAAGCTTTGAATTTTTTTTCTGAATAAAATATATTACGAACACTAATTTCTTACGAAAATATTGTTTTTTGATGAATAATAAATTTTTACAAGAATTTTTTTAGTAAAAAATATTGAATTTATTTGAACAAAATATTTATAAAGAAAAAACAATTTTTTTTCTTTTTTTTTTTTTTTTTTTTGCTATCCTCTGCCAGCCGCAATGATGGAGACATTATTGTCTCTCACCCTCACCAGTGAAATACGCTGCAAGAACCACTGCGTTTCGCGAGGTTCGTCGCTCGATTGAGACGCAAATTCCGCCAACCCTCGGTAGGAATACCATCGAACAAGGGCCAATAACCCTAGAAGTCTCCACTACCACTGGAGTAAAAATAAATCTGTCTTCAAGAGAAGAATATTTAACTATTTTTTTGATCTCGGTGTCTCGTGCGATAGACTCCGGCCCAAACGAGGGACCTCACTTACAAGAATTTACAAGAATTGTTTTCATTTTTAAAAAATTTAATTATTATAATTAATAAACTTTTACATCTTTTAAAATTATATATCAATTTGTAAGGGTCAATTTGTATTGCTATTAAATAAAAACTGCATTTACTAATCATACATGGAAAAGCTTCTTACTACAATTCAGTGAACCCCAGAATTTTAAAAAGAATTTTGAATTTTTTTGTGCTTATTATTCGATTTTTGTTAATACGGATGTTTGTAGCGATGGTGTTACCATTGTTGTTGTGAACGTCGAACGTTGAACGACGAACGTCGCGGTCATCATTATTGTAGTGATTGAGTTACCAATATTTAACTTTGGCTAGGAAAGGTGGGATTAAGGACAATGCGTGGACGCAATGCAATTAATATTTGACGTAATGATTTCAAAACATAACAGTTGAATTTATTAATGTTTTATATACATGCATGCGAACTAAAAAGGTAGGACAGAGTCATGTCCCTTTGATTAGGTATTAGTTGTACCTGAGTTCATATTAAGAAGAAGTAATATTAAACTGTAATTTAGAAGAATAAAGTTTGGAATTGTGAGTTGTAAAGTTGGTAAAAGTTCAGAAGAGGTTTCAGAGTTTGTACTTGCGTGGATGTTGGTAATTGTCTTTAACGTCTGATCGCAATGGTTAAGACGGGAGTTCTTGAAGGTTACATCTTGGCACTTGGTAGCAAGGAATGAGACGTGCGAGAGAGATGAATGAAAAGAAAACTAGAGGGAGTTTACACGTGTTGGGTTTATATAATGGTCGTGTACCACGTGATAGGATCCCAGCATATGAGCGGGAAAACAGATTGGTCGCGTGCAGGCGGTTTGATTGGTCAGAACTGACCAATCAGCAAGCTAGATTGGAGGTGATTGACCAATGAATACTTGTTATATTTGTATGAAAGTAGAATGTTACTTACCAGATAGGAAGAGTGCATTTCCTAAAAAGAGGTAAGGCTGGTTTGCTGTGGAAGATCCCACATGTTTATCCTCGACATTACCAGAAAATAAGGACGGTAACTCTAGTAAATTTAACATTTATTGGTAATTTTCTAGCATTTCTTCAACAAGCACCTTCGTAAGTAAGACTATAAAGCCAAAGTACCGAAAATGTAATAAAATATTATAGAATGCATGAATATTTAATTTAAAATTTACTGAGTACTTAAAAAATATGTATATAAAAATAGGGAGTTTACCTTGTATTCCTCATGTAATTTTATCCCCATTATCTTCTCCTTAGATAAATTTCCCATTCATCATACTGTCGATAAAAGCGTTAACACCTCATAGACACCCACCTCCATGTTAAAAATGCTTTACTGCGATATTTTAAACTAAAAGTAAGTGCTATTTGTGTCAATTTAGATTAATTAAACTATAGTTCAGATAATTTTCTCAAATAACCTTTCAGAAAAGTGTATTATTTTAATAAAGAGAATTATGTTGTGTGTTATTTGTTAATATGGACGATTTTATCAATTTTACTGATAATCCGAAAAAGAAAATCCCAATCAATTTAAATTCGGTTTGAAATACAGAACAGTATTTTGCTTATCGGAAATATTAAATTTAATGTATTAGCTTCTAATTAAAACTAAAATAAACGCCTCAAGAAAGATTTTTCATTTTTAAAGTGCATTTTAAAATTTAGGTGTCACTTTTTGGAGGTGCAGATATGTAAGCGTGGGTGTGTGCTCAAAAATGGCATTTAAATACATGCCATTATGCCTATATACAAACAAGTCAGTGTCTTTTCCAATTGCGAAATAATTGTTACAGTATGAACAAAGGAATCAACACGACATGGTGACAGTCAGTTTTAAACCTCAAGCATCTTCAGAAAATGACAGAAAATTGTCACAAGGCCTAAAATGTTAATGAGGAATTTTGGTCTTTTCTGTCCTGTCTTTTAATCTAACTAGTATATGTACTCATATACTATAATACCACATGTTCTCGTGCAGGGCCCAATCAGTTCCAGATGCCTAGTTTGTCTGGGGACGGGCTAGAAAATTCAACAAATATATACAATTAAAAATACACACGATGTTTATATGGAATAAAATAATTATTTACAAAAATGCTGAAAATATTAGGATTCCACGAAGTAAACGCGACAGAAGTAACAGTTGTTATAAAAGCGCGTATAGTAGCACGAGAGAACAAACAAAATAAAGAGAAAAGAAAACAAGAATTACTAAGAATAAATTTTTTGCATTGCCGATCTAGAGGATCAAGGCGGAGGTCTCTTTGTGGGCAATGGAAGCTACTTGGAGGATGGAGAGAGCATTTTTTCCAATGCATGTGTCAGTTCGGTCGATCGAGGTCACTGGTCGTGACACTGACAGCTTATTCACTGGTCCGCAACTCTGAAAGTGTCATGAGTGGCGTTCTTAAAAGTAGATAGAGTGGATGATGATTCAGCGTTTTTCTCATTCCTTTAGCGGCAACATTGGTGATAGACTCCTTGTAAATTGTATTTTATATTTTTAGGGGTGGGGATTTGTTTTGTGAGCTGGATGTGATGTAGCGTGAATCAGAAAGAGATTTAATTTTTAGCAGAATATAACACAGTTAAGTAGGGAAAATAATGTTGAATTACATTAATAAAATGCATATCTTTACATAATCACGCATTCATTCAAACACAGTAAAAATTGCGAAAAGGAAACGAAATCGAAAAGCATCCCATACATATTAGAGAATTGAAATATCTGTTGCCTAATGTTGAAGAAGTGGAAGGATATAAAGTAAAGAAAAAGAAACAGACAAAAGTAATTAAGCCAGTTTGTGTGATATTAACGTGGACCGCCGAGGTTGGCTATATCGTTTTTGTTGAAGAATGCCTGTTACGACAGGCTACGACAAATTCAGTAATAAACTCGTTATTTTTTCTAATCACACGATGATATAAACTTCGGGAAAAAAGACAGAGAAAAAATAAACTTTCGTTTTAAGCAGAGTGGAAATAGATTTTTCTTTCTTTCTTCTAATTTTTGAGTGGTCTGGTCAATGGAGAGGTCCCAGCATCCTTTTTGACGACTTGTATCGGTTTTCACCCTGGTTGGGTTGAACCGGCTTCCTCCCGAGCAAGTACAGCATCACGGACCATCGCTGCCCACGCCCGCCGATCCTGAGCCAGGTCACACGAAATGGCGAGCCAATCGCGATTCCATCGTCGAAGACCAACTACTTGTGGACCCGATAGTACTGCTAGGTCATCCTTGAGTGTGCAAGCCCACGTCCTCAGCTGCCCACCGACACGTTTTCGCCAGCCAGGAAGAGAAGGAGGGAGAAGTACATCGCGGATGTGCTCTCGCCCCGGGCGTTGACCTGCGTACCCGAACCATCGGAGCAGGACGGGTGGAAGAGGACGGAGACTCAGGCGACGACGTAGAGTGGCCGTGGGCACACGATCGATTCGGCGGCATCGTAGAATGCAGCAAAGGCAATCGTTGTCGAACACTTCAAGCCTTCGTAGGTCAACCGCTCTAAGTGGCCACGTTTCGCAGCCATAGAGAAGGATAGTCCGAACAATAGCCTGATAGATGCGCCCCTTCGTAGCCGTGGAAATCTCCTGTCACCCCCATAGCGACTGCTTGAGACGCACGAATGCGGACCTTACAGCTCCTATACGGCGTTCAACCTCAGCAACAGCCTGCCCGGATGGTATAATGGTTGAACCGAGATAGACGAAAGACTGCACGTCCTCCAGCGTCAGTAGCTGCCAGTTGACTGGACCAACCAGGGACGGTATAACTTTGGTCTTCGAGGCATTGATGGTCATACCCACATCCCGTGCTGCTGCTTGCACACGGTTGAGCGCAGCTTGCACATCGTCACAGTTCGATCCGACCAAGACAATGTCGTTCGCGTAGACCAGATCAGACACCCTGACAAGCCGACCAACCGCAACTCCAGCGTAGTCCAGATGGGCCTTGCCGAGGATGTAGTCGATTGTATAGTTGAATAGGGTAGGGGATAGAGCACACCCTTGCCGCACACCAGTCTTCACCTCAAAAGTCTCCGACTCCTCGCCATAAGCACAAAGACGGGCTCGCGTCGACCGGTAGTAGCTCTTGATGAGACGAAGGAGTTTAGCGGGCATGCCATCGGCCTCCATGATACGCCAGAGTGAGCCTCTATCAACGGAGTCGAAAGCAGCCGCATAGTCGACGAAGAAGAGGACTGTTGGTTGCTGGTATGCCCAGCGTTGTTCGAGGGTGCGCCGCAGGCTGAAGATCTGATCAACACAGCCTCTGCCCGGGCGGAAGCCACCCTGAGACCGGCGAGTTCGCAGATCACGGATGCCTTGAAATCTTCCCAGGAGAAGCACTGCAAGTACTTTGGCCACCATGTCGATGAGGCTGATTCCTCTGTAGTTCGAGCAGAGTCTCCTATCACCATTTTTGAACAAAGGTAGTAGGATGGCTTCGCTCCAATCGGCAAGGTAGGTTTCAGAGAGCCAGACCGCATTGAAGACACGATGAACCCACAAGGGGAATACATCTGGCACGGCTTTATATACTTCTGCAGGTATACCATTCTCACCAGGAGCCTTGTTGTTACGCAGATGGCGCAGAATATCTCGCACTTCATCTACCGTTGGGGGTGCAGCGTTGCAGTCGTATTCATCGGTCGGTTCAACGGCCACATCCGTCGCCGGAGTCGGATGATTGAGAAGCTCGTCAAAATGCTCTTTCCACCGATTTAGCCCCTCGCCCAGACCTGCGATAATAGCACCATCACGGGAGCGAAGCGTCTCACTCACTTCCGCGACTCGCCCGCCTCACCATCTGGTAGAGTTTGCGAGAGTCGCCACAGGCTGCTGCACGCTCAGTCTCTTCGGCGAAGGCGCACCAATGCGCATTTCGGTCAGCGCGGATGGAGCGAGTTGCGCGGCGCCGTAGATCGCGAAAGTTCGCAGCTCCTGTCAGTCGCGCTACCCTCGCCTTCTTCACCAGCCGAAAGCTCTCCCCGGTGATCCAGTCCCGATAAGGGTGACGGGTGACACCAAGATGGGCGTGTGCCGCTTCGACGGTGGCAGATTTGAGAGGCTGCCATTCAATTTCTGGTTGGGGCTCTGAGCTTGGTTGGCGGAGAGAGAACCGATTGCGAACTGTTCTCCCGCGTGCAGCTTCAGATTGGCGACATTGATTCGCTTCAGGATCTTGGTGGATCTCCTTGCCCGCAGTCGCAGACGGAGGCTTGCGTGGACAAGTGTATGATCCGATCCATGCGCACTGTTCGTATCTGCACCCCGATAGGCTCGAGAGACAAGTACAGAGCTTGCCCATCTCGCCCGTACCAGAATTTAGTCAATCTGGTTACCCGTACGACGGTCATTGGAGCGCCAGGTGACGAGATCTCGTCGCGGGTGCTGGAAACGAGTGTTACTCACCACAAGACGATTAGCGACTGCAAAGTTGACTAGGCGGTCGCCATTGTCACACCGAGGGCAAATCGACCTGGAACATGTCTGGTGCCCTCATCCGCCGGTCCTGTGCGAGTGTTCCAATCTCCTGCCACCACTAGAATGTCAGTGGAAGGGGTACAATCTACAACTGCTTGTAGGTCGCGGTAGAAGATGTCCTTGTTCTCCTCCGCTGCATTCAGTGTCGGTGCGTAGACGGAGATGACGGTGACGTTTATAACAGCGCCTTTGAGACGGACCATGACCAGCCTGTGGGAGACTGGTTCCCAAGCGAACAGTGCTGCTTGTGCTACTGGGCTGAGAGCAATCGCCACTCCATACAGCCCGCTGTTGTCCCCACTCCACTATGGTAAAGGTAGACGCAGTCAGACACTGGCACTTTGATTATTCTATGCCCGCTATCCGGGAGGCGGACCTCTGACAGACAGGCGACACAAACACCATACTTGATCCCAGCATGGGGCAAGCTGATAGATAAGGACTAATGACTGAAAATCCCTTTTGTCTTCACTGTGCCATCTGGAAGTTGGATTATAACTTCTGCTCAGGAAGAGGGCTGAGATTTGCTGCTGAGAAAGTGGGAGTAGGAAGAGAAGGATAAGGAAGATAAGGAAGAAGAAGAAGAAGAAGAAGAAGAAGAGAGAGAGAGAGAGAGAGATTAGCACGGCCTATATGGAGCGATGGTGCGAGATGAAACTTAAAGAAAGTTGGAGTTAAAGCTGGAGATTTTGAACTTAGATTAACAGAAGAACAGGAAACAAGAGCGAAAGAGACCGAGAGAAACACACCGGAATCCGCATCGTTCGCTGAAAACTCCTGACCAAAGACTTTGTGCCGGACACGATGACCAGAACTTAGAAATTTAAGTTACTACTAAAACAGACTACAGACTCCGAAGGGGACCCCAGTGTCATTTGACTATAATAAGAAGTGGGAAGAGTTAAAACCACTGTATACAACAAATCATATATAAACCAAATCGTTGTTATATTTTTAACCTGAGTTAATTCTTTATTCTAAAAGATTCTTGTTTTTTGTGTACACCCAAATTCTCGGACCGTCTTCACCTCGTTTGCTTCATCAACGAACGATCTTCTTACCCTCTGAGACCAAAGCAGCGTGGCAGAGAAGTGAACAGATAAACGCCAACTAAGTCGAGTGGAACCGTGCCACCAACACAATACCAGCGACAAAACGAGTCACGCCTAACGAGTGAAGTAAGCTAAATGATAACCACAGCGGTCTGAAAGAACTTGAGGACCGACGGATGATGACATAATTGGTTACCGTTGACTCGGGCCGACGACAGGGGTACATATTTGGTTACCGCTGATAAGGATCGACACAGTGGTGTTACAACATATCACAATTTAACACACACACCAAACAAAACATTTATTACCAACATATAATTACATAAAAGGGAATAACGTCTCAACTCAATATCGTGTTCTGTTTCATGTTTCATATTTTTCCTCGCCATTCATTTTTTGCATTAACCCGCTAATTCTGCTACAACTTGGAGCTAGATAGATAAGTTATGGTCACATATTACGCCTTTTCTTTTACTACTACAACAAAAACACACACTCATAATAATAGTAACTCCCCTAATTTGCAGTAGTGGTGACATGCACTAACAATTGCTTCAGGTATGTAAGTTATGAAAGATGGATTTTTAATTAGATTAAAATTTTTTTAATATATATAGTTTCTTTAAAAATCGCTTTTATAATTATTAAAAAGAGGAATTTTGGTTTTTGTTATTGGTGAAGATAATGAATGAAGGTGATGTTCGGAAATTAATTAGAATTTCATTGAATATATGACAAAATTTAGTGTCAATTTTAAAATATTAAAATTTAGGAATCATTTTATATTTTTAAATTAGTAAATATTACTGATGTCGAAAGCCATAGGATTAGCGTTTTTGGATTTTTTGAATTCAAATTTTGATGCACTGTAAGAAGTTTTCTTTGAATGGAGCGCCATTGCAACTATGATAGTAATAGGACTAAACTAAGTTTCACGGTTTTTTTTTATATATATAGGGAATGTGGTTTGATAGGATATATGTGGTTTGATAGGATATATGTGGTTTGATAGGATAATGTGTGACAATGGGCTCACTCTCTGTCCGAGTGCGCTCTTGTCTCTCCTTCGTTAACGAAGTGGGGTGTTTTGAGAAGTGAAAAAATGTTTATAATTGATTACCGAAGGATTTGACCTGTGGAACAGGGTAGTAGTAATTTGAAGTAGTGTTGTGAGAAATTGGTAATAAAAAAATCTTATCGGAGGTTATATATTTAATGTCAGTTTTTTTTTTTAAAATAATGAAAATTTTGATAAGGTGTCTTAGAATCAAATTCTGGACAATCTCCATACACTCAAAGATGTATCGAACTTATAGTGGCTTATCAATTATAGTGAAGTGTATGAGTGTTGAAACAGATTAGTTTGATTTGGCCTTGTTAGATAGCCCACCATAAGAGGGGTATAAAACAAGAAAATCAAATTGTAAAGTGAAACAACAAATTTATATACATATAAATCAATTAAGGTCTTTACAAATAAAATTAATGCATTTTGGTTGATACAAGGTCGTCAAAATGTTCGTAGTAGTCTTTGCAAGAATGAGTTTATATGTACGTAGGCAGGAACGTATGTGTGTATGTATGTATGAGCGTTATCGTAGGGTAGGAATGTCTTTGACCTAATCGTTCAGTCTTAAAATGTTCCGTTCATTTATCAAGTATAAAAGAGGTGAAGGAGAAAGGTAGAGATAATAATAACGATCGCTTGACGTTTGTCAAGGGATGTATTAATACGCTCGTCTCCTTTTCTCTGGTGACAGGCAAACTTGCCCGTCTTTTATTTTATTTGAAAAATTTGGGAATTCACTCCCGGATATGATTCGGGTGTTTCCATTGGACGACGAACAAACTTCGGGTCGGTTCGTGAAAAGGTCCGTAAAAGAATTTGTTTCTGAGAATTGAAGATTATTTTAATTTTGTTTTTAAATGTTTCCTAGTTTTCTTATGGCCGAAAAATATTTCGCATCAAGGTGTGAAATTTCACGAGTTTTGTTTTGGATTCGCTTTTGCGTGTGTTAAGCAAAGTTTGTAAATTCGAATTTTTTAATTTCTAACAAAACCAATGAGTCATTGCTTAGCATTTGAATTTTTAAATATAGATCTTGTTTTGTTCACTACAAACTCGCATCCTTCCCTGTGTTAATTAGACGTGGTAGCCATTGCACCATGTTGTGATACTATGGACATCCACATAGAAAGGGAAGAAGTAGCTTTATCTCGATCTTAGGCGATTCTGTTTGACAGACCAACGGATAGTTCCTTTTGAAGTTCGGTTTTCTAAGCGAAATTAACTGAAGGGGAATGGGAAGTAAAGGGACGGATGGGGCATTTTTGGAGTTTAAGTGGCAACAAAACCGGAAATAGAGTATATCTGGGTGCTGGTCTATATTAACGGTCATGCTTGGGATCGGAGAGAGTTCTTGCTCGCCCTTGGCGCGAGACAGACGTGTCCGTCACGTGGTTCCGAAGCCTCCAAAGTGCAAATCGTATTGCTAGCCATCACATTGAGATGAATAGATGTGCGAGGAGTTGGTAGGTTGAAGAGCTGACATAGCAGAAATTATCCAAATTATCACCTATCTACTCATCTGGACGAACATGCGAAACAAGGTTCGGGTTGTTATTTCTCGACGTGCCGTTTTTCTCATTCATCCTGTTACCGTGTGAATATGTAGCACACCCTTTTCCAGCTTTCGGTGCACACCGACGAGATCCTTTCTGCTTGTTAAGCACACGTGATAACCACAACACAACAAAAAACAAAAAAGTCATATAGTCTGGTTCAGTGGAAGAATCAGACAAGCGATACAAAGGCGAATAGACTAAAGAAGTTAAATGATATGATTTATCTCCCTTAAGTATGAAAAGTGAAATGTAAACAATTTACCGACGTGGAGTTAGTAAAAAAAAGGGTTTGGTGCAAAATTCCGAGAAGGTAACCGAGTACAAAAGACACATGAAGAAGGCCCGATGGGTATGACAGCTGAAACGTTGTGAGTATAACAGCCAAGCTGAGTATGCTGTTTCGAATAGAAAGGCACCGAATAAAGTAATTGTGGGGTAGTTAATGGTGTTGGTTAGAAAAGAATCAGAAGGGTTTTTGATGAAGGTTGCGTTCTTACATTAACATTCCACTTTAAATTTGTAAAGAAAACACAAAAATGAATGACGAGAGATCAATGAAAATCAACAAGTAAACATGTATTGAAACAAGCATAATTCTGTTAACAACAATAAAGATTAAGTCACACGAAGTGGTTTCCCTTGTATTGTGTGAAGAACAAATGTATGTTGTAATAATGTTTTTTGTTTAAATTTGTTGGTAGTTGAAGAATGTTTGATGTTTGAGTTTGAAAGTTGAAATATTTGTGCAGAAGAATGATATAGTTCGAATAGTTCACTTGGCTTGTAAACAGACAGTACACTGTGTTGTGTGAGTGTAGTTTATATCTGTGTGTGTTTGTGAGTAAAAAAAATACACGTACGTGGTTTAGGTTGTGAAAATTTATAATCTACTGAAGTTATTTCTTTAATTTCTACTTTATATAGATAGGTGGCTCCAGGAACGAGCGCGGGAAGGATATTGAAGAAAGTGTCATTTAATGTGATTGGCCAAAAATCGACCAATCGTTGATTTTTTTTCTATAGCTAGTTTGGTGAAGCAAAAACACGAGAAATTTTTATGTGGCTCGTGCGATGCGTAAATTGTCTGTACAAAAGGTATTGTTTATTTTCCGTCCAATTACTGTTCAGTAATTTGTGGTCGTGG